ATCTCTCTTGGAAAACCAAACAGTTTTTCGGAAAGACGCAGAGAAACTTAGAGGAAGGTTGCAGTGGTTCGAAAGTTTTGCTCTTGGGCGAACAGCTCAACAAGCTCTCAGAGTTGTCAGTGGCTTGGCATCAAATAGCCGGGCAGATGAGTCACTTTCGACCTTGGAGATAGAGGCGCTGGATTTCTTGAGAAATCGTGTATTAAGGGCACCACCAACCCGCATTCAGACGACGAACTTGGACACCTGGATCGTCTTCTCGGACGGAGCTTGTGAAGGATCCTCTGTGAAGGAGGGCTCCATTGGTGCCGTTCTTATAAATCCGCTCGGGACCCCAGTGGCCTTTTTCTCAGAAGTGTTGCCAAAGGAAGTGATGACATCTTTCTTGCTAGATTCGGACCATCCGATATTTGAGTTGGAACTTCTGCCCGTTTTCATCGCAGTGCTTCTTTGGAACAATTGTTTAAAACACAGCCAGTGTGTTTTCTATGTGGACAACGAAGCAGCGCAAGGAGCCTTGATTTGTGGTTCTTCTTCGACGGTCCAGGGAAACAGGCTTTTGAAACTCTTTGTAGAATTTGAGATGCAATGTCAAATCAAAGTATGGTTCGCTCGTGTGCCGACAAGCAGCAATCCAGCGGACAAACCAAGCAGAGGAGAAACTGAAGAACTGGTCACTCTAGGTGCCAGTAGATCAGTTGTCGATTGGCAAAGCTTTATGGCAATCTTCGAGAGCAAGGTCGCAGGAGTTGGGGTTTGAAAGAAGGGACCTCGAACTCTCTCAGCTTGCTCGAAAAAAGATTGCGCGTGAAGCGGTGCTTTTTCTCTTTCTGCTGTGTACATGTGCACATGTTGTTTAGCAACATGTAACATAAGAGCTTAAAGCCTAAGCAACCGGTTTCCTAACAGAGAAATAATCTTTTCTTCTTTTCCTTCTTCTTCTTCTTCTTCATCTTGGTTGGGGTCCATGGATCAGAAGATGTGGTTGAATCCAACGAACGAACATTCTTCTTTTTCAAGATGCTCTCAAACACTGTTCTAGGCGATGAAGAAAGCGCATCCTCATTCCCTTTCTTCTTGGATTTCAAAACAGGTGACGATGATGAAGGGGTGGCCGTAGTAGTAGGACCGTGGACGACAAGAGCAGTCGAGTCGGTATGATGACCAAGATCTTCTGAAGAACCACCTGTCTCCTTGAACAAGTTGACCCTTTTCATCTTGCCAGACCGGAGACGTTTCCCCAAGCAGTCAGAAACAAAAAGACCGAAACCACTGAAGCTTGCTTTCCGCTTTGTGTTTTCAGCTGTGTTGTCGTTTCACTTGTCGTTTTGAATTTAGATGTTTCTGGTCACTTAATGCTTGGGGTTATGTAAATAACTCGCGTAGTACACTAAGTAAGTAGATGCGCTCATCTATATCGCTTGCGCCTCATGTACTCCTTCTCCTGCATACAACAAGCGGGATAAAATCAGTACAGGGCTAAGTAAGACACGGTTCTCCGTTTGCATGGACTCCAATGTTGGCCTCTCTGCACTGGTCAAGGGCAGATCTCCTTCCATTGGGCTGCGGAAGGCCTTGAGACGTTCTGGCTCCACGATCGTTGCAGGATGCCTCTATCCTTCCTATCACTTTGGGCCTACAAGATTGCTTTGAGCAGACCATCCTACCAGGGACAATCTTTTCCCTGAACCTGTCCAAAGCTTTGTGCCAACAGGCTGCTCCCTGGATGAGTTCCTGAGCCTTATGAAGATCTCTGGCCTCAACCGTTTGGCGTCAAACTGGGTCAGACTTGTCCTCCGTTTGCTGTCTGCTCTCCCTGCATGGTTTTGCCGTGTCTCATCAGATAGCTGGAGGTTTGAACACGTCGATTTCACGCACTACCCGGTCCACCGTGGCAATAAAGAGATCCCTTCCACGTATGAATTTGATAGCAGTTTGGGTTTCCCTGGCGAGGGACCCTTTGATTTGGGGGTCTCCTCACTCGCGCCTTTGGACTTCCTCTTTCATGCGTGGACTTCAATCGGCTTCTGCCTTTTCAGTCGGCGCTTTTGGATTTCCTTTGGCCTTGAGTGGACTTCAATCTGTGGATTTTGTGGCCATTGCGTGCCTGGGGGGGGACGGCCGGGAAAATCATTCCGGTTCCGCCTCCCTAGGAGGTTTTCTTCATCTCCTCGCTTGGCAGGGCACCTTTTGTGGATTTTGGTCCTTACTTCCGGTGCTGAACACCAGGGTTTAGGAGTTTCGGCGGTTCGCCATGGTCCTTGCCTCATTCCGCGCCATGGAGCTGATCGCATCCGAGCGGAGAGCAGAGAAGAACTGGAGTTGCCACAGGGCAGGCCGGTTTTGGAGGCCGCCCAAAAGAACAGAGACAAGCTGCTAGCACTTTTTTCTGCATGGCTGGAAGGCCAAGTTGGATTCGATCCTCATGGTCTCATCCCCCGACATTAAAGCAGTGAACACCCTACTGGAGCGCTATGGGCGAGAGCTGTATCGAGTTCAGCCGGCTTGGGACCTGGCTTACTCCTGGCTCCGTCAGGAGCCTCCTGTGCACCACCTCGCTCTTTACCCTGGCAGGCGATGGTATCCATCATCACTACCTCCTGGATGTGGGGATGGAGCAGGGTGGCAGGCATCATTGCCCTGTCATGGGGTGGGCTTACCAGGATTGGAGAAGCTCTAGGGGCTTTGAGGCAGGATTTGATCCTGCCGATTGACGTCGAGAACTCAGTGGACTATGCACTGCTGCAGGTGCATGAATCAAAGACAAGGTTCAAGAGCGCCAGGCACCAAGTGGCCCGTCTCGATCGCCCTCAGCTTTTGAAGGTGATCGAGGTGGCTTTTGCGCATTTGAGCCCTGAGCAAAGGATTGCCTCCCGCAGGGCATCTCAAGGCGTATAGACGTTGGGTCCCTCCGCGCAGGAGGGGCCTCATGGTTGCTCATGACCAGCGAGAACAGCAAGCTGACCCGCTGCAGAGGCAGGTGGATCAGTTCGAAAGTGATGGAGATCTATGTGCAGGAGGCGTGGTCAGTACAGTTTATGCCTCGCCTACCTAGGCATGTGAAGTTGCAGATTTTGAATGGGGTGTCCCTTTTCTCATGGGCCCTCGACTTGGTTCTCCTTTGGTGCCGCTGCGCCATTCCAAACACCGCGTGGCCGGTGCTGTTCCACACGGAAGCGAAGGACTTCGAGCTGCATCACTTGGGTGGAAATGGCCGGGTGATGGAAGAGCCACAGAGTGGCTGTGTGTCAACTCCAGCCCAGCATGGAGAAAAGAAGGGCCAGAGCGTGTTCGATGAATTGAGTAGTAACTGAAGCTCCTCCTGAAGATGAATGGGCTGTATCACTTGCAACCTGTCGAAAATTGTTTACCCAACGGTCTCGAGCAAGATGTCCGCGCCACCCACAAAAGGGAACATGGTGCCACACCTTTTCCTTTCTGGTCTTTGGCCTGTCCTTTGCCCTTGCGATCACCTTCCTTTCCTTTCTGTTGCTCTTTTCTTGTTTTCCTTTGCCCTTGGTATCCTTACTTTTGCCTTTCTGGTAGTCATTCTTGTCTTTCTTGCCGTTTCCTTTTGGTGTCTTAAATTCGATCAACGTCCATAGGCATGGGTCCTTGATAAGCTGTGCTGCTACTTGCCGCCATTGAAGTAGCCCACTTCTGTTGAGAACGATCCCAGTGCAACACTAGTTCCGTTGAGTATTGAACAGTGTCGCCACTTGTCAAATTCAAACAGGATTTGAGTTGTCTACCTACGCGTCTCAAAAAAATAGCAGATTTAGACTCTTCCTTGAATCGTTGTTCCTGACTTGATCGTCTCTTCAAATACTTCTTCAAGCTTAAGGGGCTCAGGTTGTAGGGCAGTGTTCATCGAAATTGCCGGCCATGTAGTGGCTGCTCCCAAAAGCGCTAGTCCTCTAGCCTTTGACATAGGTTTCAAAGCTTTGTCCAAACTCCTCCAGCCATCAAACCCATTGGAGTCCTCCACAGCTTCAACCAATTGCAATGCCCTGCCCCCCCCTCAACGAAGCTAAAAATCCATAGAGCTTGATGCACCTGGTTTTCTCCCCTGTAGTTGCCAAGTCCATATCAAAGCTCTCATTCGGTTTGTCATGAATCTCCTTCAGATCCTTCATGTAAGCCTCATCCACTGAGCTTAGATAGATCTCAAATACCCATGACCACTCTCTGAACGCTTTGATCTCTTCTTCTAGTGTGGGTTTTGTGATCAGCTTTGACCAATCAGTTGTTGTTGTCTTCTTGTCTTCAGCAGCTTTCTTTACTGCCTCAGCTGCTGATGCTGTTGCTTGCGTGCTCTTTGTTACGACTTTAAAGATTTCTCTTATCTCTTCCACCGTTCCCGAACAATATTGTCCTTTTGACACAGTGTATGGGGTACAGAGTGCAACTCACAACAGTTTATCACCAATTCAGCAATTTAGGTTCTAGGCTCCAAATTTTTGGCTCGACACGCTCCTGGGATCCCAGTGAAATAGGGGCTTCTCTCTGGAATTCAAAGAGGGTTTCCCTTGTCCCTGCTCCGCTACCATGCGAGTTTTTTTCTTGATACTCGAAGGTCTGCGATACGGTCAAAACATCATGGAACAATACATTCACAACTGTGAGCTATGTTACAAATTCCTCACAAAACCCCAATGCCAAGGCATTGACACTTGAAAGTCCCCCAAGGTCGCCTCACACTCAACCAGGATGTGCACAGCCAATGAAAGCTCTTATAAACTTCCAAAGCGAACTCATACATGCAGAGCCGAAGAAAACCGTGTGAAGAGATATACATGATGAAAAAACAGCTGTGCTATTCAGAACTGACTCTTTTGTTTGCCAACGATCTTAGGATGAACTGGTGGGTGCTGGTTTGGTCAATTTGTTTGTTCGGCTTTCGGTTGGACTTTGGATGTTGTTTTTGTTTTTTTTGGTGACTGCGAGTGGCTAGCAAACAGTGTTGATTTTAAACCACAAAGCTTTTGTCTTCGGCTGTCCAAGCTGTTCAAGCTGTTCAGGGAACAGCTGTCGGTCGGTTTTTGTTGGCGAGCGACCGTTGGGGGAGTCATCCGCCATGCCGAACTTCACCGTGGATCAGATGCGACAGATCATGGACAAGACGGATAACATCCGCTCCATGAGTGTGATCGCGCACGTGGATCACGGGAAATCGACTTTGACCCTTGACCATCCGCCCGCCTTTGGTGGGTTAGAGTGAAGGAAGGGTAACAATGGCATTGACGTCCCCAAGGCACAAAAGTCAGGATGGTCCAATGGTGCTAGATTTGTTGTTTATTTGACACCACCCCTCTTTGCATGACCGAGTTCCAACGGATGAATCCTGCCAAAAAAATGACAAAACTGTTGCTTAGTTTTTTGCATCGTCAAATTGTATTATCCCATATAATCATTGCAAAAGGGATGTGCAATGGTCAAACCATCCAAGGTTAAGTCTTGCGAGGTTGCGCATTGATTCATGAAACCCTTTCATTGTGGTTTGTTGTTTGTGGCCAGAGCGCGGCCGAACCTTAAAACATCTTTGTGTTTGGTAGACCCCGTGCAACCCATGTCTCCATGCGACGCCAAGGACCGACTCCTTGATTTGCAAGGCCCGGGCCACGATCCGTTCGTTTGAGTCGATCGGGTTGGTTTGTAGACAACATTTGTGATGGTGCCAATCCACTTGACAAAAATCTGTTGAAATGAACAACAAATACATACACACACCTTTTTGGTTGTTCATGTTTCCCTGGTCTGGGTGCCTGACGGCCCTTTCATAAAGACCCGGTTCATTTGGTCACGCTCCGGTTCCAACTATGAATTCTTTGGAATCCCCTTCCGTTGTGTTGGGAGAGTCATGTCCTCCACATAACGTTTCTGCGTTCCCCAGCAACGTCGTTTACCACTGCCGTTTTTGCGATGTGAGGCGGGCATCATCTCCGCCAAAGCCGCAGGCGATGCGCGCTTCACTGATACCCGGGCCGACGAGCAGGAGCGAGGAGTGACCATCAAGAGCACAGGAGACTTGGCGAGAGAACGGACGGATGGGTATGATCTGTAGAACAGGAACACATTCGGAGACAGCCTGGACAGTTAGAGGTGTTCTGAAACAACCAACCAATGGACATCTTCAAACAAGAACAGCTCTTATCATGTGATGTGGAAGAGAGGAAAGGTAAAGATATACTGCCACATCCAAATACAATAACTAAATGGAGAACATTAAATCATTAGTGGATTGTTGAAGTCTGGTCCGGTTCCGGTGCGGGTGCGTTGTGTAGCGTGTAGCACTGGATTGAAATGAAAGTCCACAACCCTAGAAGTCAGTTCTTCTGTTGGGACACCAATGGAGTTTGAGACCCCTCCGGTTAGTTTTGTGAGACACCACGGTCCAGTCCGAAGTCCTGCCGTGTTTTTTTTTGAGCACCCAGGAGTGTCGCTGTACTTCGAGCACGACGAGGAAGATGGAAAAGGAAGCATTCCCCACTTGATCAATTTGATTGATTCGCCAGGGCACGTGGACTTCTCCTCGGAGGTGACCGCCGCGTTGCGCATTACGGACGGTGCCATGGTGGTGGTCGATTGCATCGAGGGCTGCGCCGTGCAGACGGAGACGGTCTTGCGACAGGCTCTGCAGGAGCGAGTCAGACCATGCCTTTTCGTGAACAAAGTTGACCGCTGCATCTTGGAGTTGCAGATGGAAGCAGAGGACATGTACTCCCGTTTCCGCAATGCTATTGAGAACGTGAACGTCATCATTGCCACCTACAACGATGCATTGATGGGTGATGTGCAGGTGCAGCCTGAAAAGGGAACGGTTGCATTTGGCAGCGGGTTGCATGGATGGGGCTTCACCACTGAGCGTTTTGCCAAGATCTATGCCCAGAAGATGGGAGTGGAGAAGGAGAAGATGATGCAAAGGATGTGGGGAGATTCCTTCTTCAATGCCAAGAAAAAGGTGTGGACAAACGTGCAGCAGCCAGAGGGTTGCACTGAGCCTCTGCAGCGAGCATTCTGCCAATTCATCATGGGGCCCATCAACCAGCTGATGCGTGCAATCATGAACGATGACAAGGAGAAGTATGAGAAGATGATGGGCACCTTGGGCATTGTGCTGAAGGGAGATGAGAAGGCCCTCACTGGCAAGCCGTTGATGAAGCGAACCATGCAGATTTGGATCAATGCTGCTGACACCTTGCTGACCATGATTGTGACCAAGCTGCCTTCCCCGCGAACAGCCCAGAAGTACCGAGTGGAGAACTTGTACGAAGGTCCAATGGATGATGCTGCTGCTTCAGGCATCCGCAGCTGCGATCCGGCAGGCCCTCTGATGATGTATGTTTCGAAGATGGTTCCCACCTCAGACAAGGGTCGCTTCTACGCTTTCGGCCGAGTTTTCTCCGGAACCATTGCAACTGGACAGAAGGTTCGTATCCAGGGCCCTTACTACAAGCCTGGAAGCAAGGAGGACTTGCATGTGAAGAACATTCAGCGAACTGTGTTGATGATGGGTCGTACCACGGAGCAGATTCAGGATGTGCCTTGCGGCAACACTGTCGCTCTGGTTGGCGTTGACCAGTACATCCTGAAGTCTGGAACTATCACCACTCTTGAGGATGCCCACAACATCGCTGACATGAAGTACAGTGTGTCCCCTGTTGTGAAGGTTGCCGTGAAGGCCAAGGACGGCAAGGACTTGCCAAAGCTCGTGGAGGGCTTGAAGAAGCTGTCCAAGTCGGATCCTTTAGTCGTGTGCACCACGGAGGAGAGCGGAGAGCACGTCATTGCTGGATGTGGTGAGCTTCACGTGGAGATTTGCTTGAAGGACTTGAAGGATGAGTATGCTCAGTGTGAATTCATTGTCTCTGACCCAGTGGTGTCCTACCGCGAGACCGTGAGCGAGGAGTCCACCCAGACGTGCTTGGCCAAGTCGCCCAACAAGCACAACCGCATCTACCTCAAGGCCGAGCCCATGGATGAGGAGCTCAACAAGGCCATTGAAGACGGACCTGCTGGCCCCAAGGCAGATCCCAAAGAGCGAGCCAAGCTCTTGACTGAGAAGTTCGACTGGGACAAGCAGGTGGCCCAGACCAAGATCTGGTGCTATGGCCCTGAGACCGATGGCGCAAACATTGTGGTTGATGCCACGGTCGGTGTGCAGTACCTCATTGAGATCAAGGAGCACGTGAACAGTGCCTTCCAGTGGGCCACAAAGGAAGGGCCCCTTTGCGAGGAGAACATGCGAGGCATTCGATTCAACTTGATGGATGTGACCTTGCACACTGATGCCATCCACCGTGGTGCTGGACAGATCATGCCTCCAACTCGAAGATGCTGCTTTGCTGCAGAGCTCACGGCCAAGCCAACTTTGCAGGAGCCTGTCTTTTTGGTGGAGATCACTTGCCCACAGGAGGCCATGAGTGGTGTCTACAACTGCATGAACCTGCGCCGTGGTTGTGTTTTTGAGGAGAATCAGAGGGAGGGTACTCCTTTAGTCCAGGTGAAGGCGCACTTGCCAGTGTCCGAGTCGTTTGGTTTCGTGGCTGCCTTGCGACAGGCCACCAGTGGTCAGGCATTCCCCCAGTGCGTTTTTGATCACTGGGAGAACCTGCAGGGCAATCCTTTGGACAAGGGCAGCAAGATGGAGGAGTTGATCCTGAACATCCGCAAGCGTAAGAACCTGAAGGTCGAGATGCCTGCCTTGGGTGACTACTTGGACAAGCTCTGAGATGACTTGCTAGGACAGATCTTTGAGTGGGCAGATGTCAATTAAGACCCCCAAAAAAACAGCGCTTGGTCGTCAGCGCATTCCAGTGATGGCGTGGGGGGTCAGGCCTGGATCCCCACGGCTCGCTTGCAGCACTTGCACTCAATAACGCTTCAGTCGCTGTGTGGCATTGGGCTCAAGGCATCTCATCATGTAGCTGTTCAATACCTGATGCGAGCCGCATCCTTCCGCCCTAGCTGCTTCAGAAGGAATCGACACCGAAACTCGGGCCACGGGAAAGGAACCACCGGGAAAGGACCCTTGGAACAAGTTGGAGCAAAGGGCTCTCGAAGTATAACGGAGGACAAGCTCGAGTCTTTTCTGTTCAACATGAGGAGTCAGGAAACGCCGCAAGAAGCCATTCATGTAGTTGACATGCGATGCCAAACAATATACATTGATGGGGGTGTCTTTCCACCCTTCTGTGAAGTTGAGTTCTTTGCATTTCTGACCACTGTGTTCTGCCTGGACGCATGTCCGACCTCGGCGCAGTGCGGTTCGCGCCAGGGTCAATGCTTTTACTTTTAGAGACCCCGGCGGGGCTGGGGAAGCTCAGCTTCGGAGGGGCTGTGCGGAAGGAGATTGGTTTGGGCTGCCGGCACGCGTAATTGAACGATTTCGTTCTAGCCCCGCAAAGCCTCCATCCCCTGGAAAGTGTCACAAGCTGCTCCGACTACTTTCTTAGATAAACTACACTCCCTGAAACTGAAACAATCACGGAAGTGGAACATGGCCCCTTGGATGACAAGACGTGACTTTCCACTTCCATGTTAGTGACACTACTCGGAGTGTAACTTTCCGCAAGTCAGGTTTCGAGTAGAGCTGGGCGTCTCTGTCCAAGTTCGGAGCGACCGACCCCCCGAACGCCACGTTTCTCCATTTGAGAAACTCCTCAATTTGATGGACGATGCATTCCATTGAGCCTCGCGATTTGTTTCTGACCAACTTCCCACGTGAAAGAGTTCAAATTGCAAGTAGAAGGCACCCAACTTCTACAACCCCTACCAAAAGGTTTTTCATGGTGATCCTGTCATAAATCGTCAGCTCCTTGCCATTCCTGGCTCTTTCGCTCCGCGGTCCGCGAGGTACGCACTCTTCACGGTGAAGAACAAGAAGCTCCTCAAGGCGCCGAAGAGTCCGACGAAGAAGGAGACAGGGGTGCGGTGTAGCGAAAGAGCTTTCGTTGGGCGAAAGAGCCGGGCAGCGGCGTTTTGACGAAGTTTGTTTCGCGCCGACTATGACTGATTGGGGCAAAGTGCCTAGACGGGGGCAGCGGAAGTAAGTAGTGAACCAGTTTAGTCTCTCAATATCGGCGCCTGATGTGGGTGACGATTGGCGAAGTCTCGATTGCAAAAATAGCAGATCAGGAACCTGTTGGTTCACTCTTTTTTAACTTCTGTGGAAGAGGAGATCCTTGAAGATGGATTTTGTGATGAAATAGCAAGGTCCTCGAAGAGCCACTGTTAATAAGCCAGACACCTACCAGTTGAAACCGCCCTGTAGCCTTTTTGGATGTTTCGGATTCTGGTCCTGGTCCTTTTGGACCAACCTGGCCAACCTGAGATCCAAGGCCAACCTGGCTTCCCCCCCTGACCGACGGTCTCCAGCACCATGATGAAAGGGGATTCTTCCGGTCTCCAGGCTGATGCTGACTCCATCTTCGAGAACTTCAAGTCCGTCACTGACGCCTCGTGGTGGTGCTCAGCGGACGGAGACTGACCCGTTGGTCCCGGACGGCGCCCGTCCCGGATGGCGCCCGTCCCGGAAAAGGATGGGGACACATCTACAAATCGACTCGCGATGGGATTCCAAGTTTCATTCTCACCCTTCCCCAACAATCATGGAAGTGGGAATGACCCCTGAGAGGATCACAGTACTTTCTCCAAGCAGGGGGCCATACCCACTTAGGGGGTTTATATATATATATATGTATTATTATACAATATAAATATTCAGTGTTCTTTCTCGCATGGAAGCAACATCTGCATTTTACTGACCCAAAACAAGCTTGATAATTGATCCCGCCATCGCAACCGGCATGCAGCAGTTCGATGGCAGTGACTGCTTAGTGCCCCTAGTGCCCCTGGTGCTCTTCAAGTGACCAAAGCCGTGAAAATTGGAACCCCGTGAAGGGAGCACCGGAGCTCTTTGGATGCCTTCAAACAACAAAAAACATCTGCCTCCTCACCGTTCTCTTAAAAGCGTTTGTCTCGCTCCGCATGGCCATTTTTCTTCAGGCGGCAAGTTGGGCTCACGGCCTTTCACAAGTTCGAAGATACCAAGGCAGCCATGGAGGCACTGAGAGAACATGGCCGCCTCGGGGCATGGGGCGCTGACCCCGCAGACCGTCTCTGTCCCCACGTCGATGTGAAGACCCTGGACTTGCTGTGCTGACATTCCTGTCACTGGTAATCATGGTAATCCTTGCGTAGGCAGATGTAGATTGTTGATTAATAAATGCCACCTGCCAGAATGGTTTTACATTTGTTCTTTCTGTTTGTTATCAGTCACTCAACAGCCCACGTTATTTCGCTCAGATCATGGAAGTTCGTGCCAGTTTTTTGCAAGAGTTGCTCACCAAACATAATCCCCTCCAATGGTTGTTGATGAAAACTAGAAGAAAAAATATCAGATCATTATCATATCCTCCTTTCTTTAACTCTCCTCTGAACATATCTGCCCTCCATCATCGAGACCAAGGAATTCCTTCCATTCTCATGCCTCGACTTGCTCGCGTGTTTCGTCTTGTGTTTCGACATGAGACCAAGGCCGTCACCGGCGCCGAACGAGCAAACAAACGCCCGTTCACTGTCCACTGGGCATTCGGAGTCCAGGCCTGCACTGAGCTCACGGAGTCCTCAGTGGGGAAGAGCCTCAAGAAGTTTCTGAAGAAGAGCCTGGGACGAAGCATTCCGACTAAAACCGCTCGGTTTGGGAGCTGACATTTGGACCGGTTTGGGCTCTTAGTTGGTAGGCGTGTGGAGATTTAAAGATCCTGGTGGATGTTTGGGAGAGCCTGGGAACCATCCCAAGAATGAGTTCTTGAAAAGCCACAGTGCACTGCCCCACAAGTGAGGTGCGTGCAACAGTGCAGACGACTTTGCAGACATCCGCATTCTCGTGTATTCTGGCACAGCACCATCCCCCCCAAAAGCGACATAACAGATCATAATCATAACAACAATATATAATCAGCTTTGTGCTGGTGGATGTGCGCAAAACGACTCGTTGCTTCGCAGCGTTCCAACGAAACTCACCGTGCGATCCAGGAATGTGGTCGACGCCGGGCTCGCGGACAGCCTGACAGCCCCTGGGCGTAGCCGCTACGTCCCCCATTCACGTAACGCCTCCGGTCCAAGTGGACTGGAAGGTGCCCATTTTGGACGTCTAAGTCTAAGTGAGATGGGCCATGCGATCCACGTAACTGACCGTCGAAGTGAGTGGTACATTGATCATGTCCTGGCTCGTTGTTTGCCTCAGACTTTTTGTTCCAGAAACCTACATGGCGTGACCGGAGGTGATTTTGCAGTGAAGTCGCAGAGAAAGCCTGGGGGGTCCCGGTGGATTTCATCATTATGAGGTCAGCATGTAACTTATTCAAAGACAGCATGTTGGATTGTACGAATGAGTTGATGTAAAGGTGGGGATGTTTCATTTGTGCGCATACTCTCTGAGAACAAGTACTTTTGTCTTCATAGTGCAGGAAGCACACTTCCGAAGCAAACTACCACAATCTTCCACTTCCTCTACCTGGTCTACCCCATGCAGGTCCTGGATTTCTTTTTTCCTGAGCCGAGCCTATCAGGTCCTGGACAAGCAGCTGGGAATAAACATCAACAAAAAACTTGGGATCGAGGCGGGACGCCCGGCCGGACCGGAAGAAGGATTGGGAGAGCTGGACTGACCCTGGATGAGCAGATTCGTGAGACTGATGTAAACCATCAACATACCTTGCTATGGGTTTTCCATCTAACATACCCCTTTGGCTGACTCCTTGCCTGAGGGGACCAACCATGAAACACATCAAAGGGCTCCGAACATCGCCTGCCCGCTTCGCCCGATTCGACCGGGTCCCGAGGTGTCCGTGATGAGTGACAACCTGCGCGAGATCATGCGCGGGGTCCGACTCCACCTGTCGGGAGACCGAGAGATTGACAGCGGAGTTCGTTGAGGATGGACCATTCGATTTTCCACAAAAGAAACACACAAAAAAAGGAAAAAGACACATCAAACAAAAAGAACACATTTTGCAGTTTCTTCAATGCATTTCTTCTTGATTTGGTTGGGGAACCGGGTTGGATTGGATTAAGGGAGGGGATTGGATCGGTGAGATTTGGGCAAACGCGTTCTTTGTTTTTCGTTTTCCTGGACGGACTGAAGCAATCGGGGCGGAGTTGAGGGGAAGCGCAGGTTTCTGTTTGAGCTTCAGCTCTGTTTGACCTGAGGACCGAGTTGATTGAAGGCCTGGACGAGCAAGAGGCCTTTTGTCCAAGGGCCGGGGGAAGGTGCAAGGATGCATGTATCATCATGTATCAAAGGCTGGCAATTCTGGTCCAAACTCTGATCTGTGATTGATCGCGTGATGAACAGATACTTTTGGCGGTCGAAACTTCTTGACTTATATTACTGTGTAGAATCCCTGAGATACACCTATAGTTTTACCTATGCCTTTGACTCTGACTCATTCCCAAGGATTTTTTCTCCTTTGGCGCTGAAGTGGCGTTGTGGTGCCAGCTGACTGACATAGATCAAAAATCAGCACAATTGCAACTTCGACCACGGCTGGCTTTGGCCGTTTTTCTTCCACGTTTCGCCGTTTCGCTCCATACAGAGCAGGTCAGAACGATGTCCTTGGGCTTGGCACATACCCTGCAGGGAGACTGAGAGTTGTGGTGAAAGCGAGGCAAAGCTTCATACAAACAGAGGAATCCAAATCATTTGCTTGTGTCGTAGGACTTGTGCCATGGCATCGCGACACATGTGCAAAAGCTTATCGCGACACATCGTTGCCTTTCTTGCTTTGAAACAGGTATTGCTAGTGTCAATGGCTCATAAATCATGGCAGTTCAATCGTTTATCACAGTTATTGCCATACCTGTCTACAACTGCTGGCAGCTATTTGTAAAGACTTGAGAATGTTTGGGGCGCAACACCGGTGAACTCAATGTTTTGCTTTCAATGCTGCTGGAGGATTTGACCCTTATGCTTTAAGGTCAAGAAGCGTACTTATCGTTCTTAGATGGGGCCGAGATACACTAGTATGGAAAACTCGTGAAACAACTTTGTGTTCAAGTCTGTGATGCCAATGGCACATGCCACTAGACACCAGTGGCGTCCCAAACAACATGTATACTGTATTAGATATATAACTTATTATAACATACAGTAACATAAACCCATAAGTTGTTTTGCTCCAGTTCCCCGCGTGATTTAGGTCACGCTTCAAGCTGAAGTTTTCACCAGACAAGGTGGATACCATGATCATCCAGGCGGAACAAACGGCTGGAAAAGGATAAGACAGAGGAAAAGAGCCAGCGAAGCAGACGCTGGGAGAGCCAACGTGTGAACTGGTGGAGTTTTGCCTTAGGCCTTCGGGATTTGTCCCAAATCCATTTCCGGGTCGATCCTTGAACTTGTGGCGCTGGCTCCAAGGTCCGACCAAATCTTACCTTTACAAAGTTTGATTGAAAGAAAGGTAGAAAGGTGTGGAAGCGTATCCTTCTCAAGAAAGGATGTCCCTTCCAGATTATAAAGGTGTCGAAAGGCAGCAAAAGGATGTGACATCTGGCCTGGCTTTGTCTTTGGGCCTGGCCGCGTCGGTCTGTTGGACCTGTTCGGCCTGTTCGGTCAGGGCTCCAGGTAGACCCCCTTGCCCCGAGGAGATCTGGTGCACTAGCATAAGTGACATGAGATTCCCCGTATCAATGTGATGCCTACAGTCTACAGTAATAGTAAGCAAATTCATGAGGTTATCCGCCCAAACGGGGCATACGTCTCACGTGAGAAGGAAGGAAGGCAGGAAGGCCTCCGATCAAAAAGACCATTCGGTCCAGCAACTGAGAACTGGAAAGAGAAAGAAAAGGGCAGGACTGACCTGGTGAACACAAACATGGATTCAACAAGCCAAGTTTTGAAAGATCCTTTTCCTCCTGTGGTGCTGCTTTTTTGTGCATGTTTTTGGAGTTATTTTTGTTTTGTTTTTTGTTTTTTGATTAATTTTTCCACTCTCCACGCGAGTTTTGAAACTGAAGCTCATGTGATGTTTGGAAGTGGGAGAAGAGTGTTTGATGAAATCAGAGGCTGTCGGGCTCTTGGATGACTTGGACAAGGAGCTCAACAATTTCGCGATGAGACTCCGAGAATGGTGCGATTAGACTGGTGGGGGAGGGATATGAAGAGCGGCCACCACGGGAGTTTCTGTTGGGAAGGCTTCCACGGGTACCTGGCTCACCAGGTCTTGTCATCAAAAAGCGAGCTTGTGAGACTCAGTGAGATCCACCCCCCTCCGCCCTCGGCCCTCGTGGAACGTCGATTTCACCCAAGCTTGGCTGGGAACGTCAACCTCCCAAAACGTGGTGTTCCACACATACACCCGCGCGTTGTTTTGCACGCACGGTTGGACAGTCCGATGCTCCGAACCGGTGGCCTCCTCTCGCTCCGAAAGCGAGGGAAGAAGACGACCTGCGCAGGTATGGTTGGCACTTCCCGGAGATGGGGAAGATCATCACCGAAAACCTCGCCTATGCCAAGGCTGAAAAGCGGCCCTGCATCGTGGGCACGAGTCCGACCTCGAAGCGTTGATGCCAAAACGGGGCCCATTGGAAGAGCACCTTTGAGGTGGTTGTTGGTTGCTGAGGACGGGATCCTATACCACATGATGACTGCCATTTTGGATGCGCGGTCTCGAACATGCGCAGGTCGTTCGGCTCATGGGGCTGAAAACCAAGGCCAAGGAGGGTGCCCTGCACGGTCTGGGGGAGTGGGAGTGACTGACTGGGGGTAGTGCATTGGAATGGGACGGCAAAGGCCAAGTAGCAGTTGGATGGGCTACCGCGGGTAGCAAGGCCGCAAACGGCGGCAACCCATGGCGGAGTGATATAAGAGCTTCCGGGTACATTGGTCTCCGTGTAAGATGCTCTACATGAATCTTGTTACTAGTAGCTTTTTGTTACTAGTAGTAATGCCCTTGTTACTAGTAGCGATGCGCTTGTTGCTAGTGGCGATGCACCTGTTACTGATCGTCTATGGATTCTATGGCTTTGTTCCAGCCGATGATCCACCAACGCTTGCTCCGAAGCACGAAGCACGACATCCGTTGCTCTCGGCGTGGAGCTGAGATCGATCGTGGGATCCTTGGAACGGTTCCCGCAAAACAGGTCGATCGTCTTGGAGGCCACGTTGAACTGGAAGGGCCTGTGCCCTTGGACCAACCCTGTGAGAGCTGGACACACTTCTCCAAGGGCCGCCTCACCGCCTCGCCATCCGCTGTCGGGTGAACGGTGGAACGGCCGGTGAACCACCGGTGGAACGGCCAGGAGACGGACTTCTCGGAGGTGAACGTTCCAGAGGAGATTGCGGCGGAGGTGCGGAAACCTGCGTTGGACAGTGGGGTGGTCCTGAGAAGAGAAAAAGAGGAGGTTCAGTTGCTTGACCAGGTTCTCACTTGTTAGTGGTTGGACACATTTGGATAGCTAAAATGGGGGAATTGACTTGGTGACTTGGTGTCATTCTTAAACACCTTGGTGGGTGACTGGAACTATAGGTCGGTGAAACAAATCAAGTCAAGACCTCCAAAGCGTTGACAAGTGATTTAAAGGGATCACTGAGATCTAGGAAGAGTTGGAAAGGGAAGACTCGCATGTTGATCTCTTCTTGTTTTCGCCACTTGAGACGCAGTATTTACACTTTATTTACATTTATTTAAACATATTCTTAAGATAAAGGGATATATGACTACATAATATATGTATATATAGATTTTGGCAGGCGGTTGGTGAACAGTAGGTTTCTTGAGTGGAGGGACATGTCCATCAACAGCATCATTATAGATGAGCGGTGCCTGCGAAAGGGAGAGCCGGGCGATTCTGTTGGAATAGTCTTCCCGCGGATGTACTACGTGGATGGGCGACATGGACTGTGAAGCAGCATATAGCTGGTGTTGGGCGACAGTCTCACATGTCACATACATACACCGTTTTTCTTGTACCCAGAATTGGACTCCCAACCTTTTGGAAGACCAGCTTTTTGTTTCTCTCCCTCCTCTCCCCTCTCTGTTTACGTGTCTCTCGAGTCACCCTCCGTGTCGTTCTGAGGTGAAGCAAGCGGCGGAGACCTCCATGGTGCGGAGACCTCGTCGACCGGGACCGGCATAAGTCTCACCGTTGGCCACGAGCTTTTTGAGGTACCGACCGCTATCAAATGAACGTTTTACGAGTGGATGTCTTCGCAGTTGAAGTGGAAGGATGTTGCTGGGTTCCATGCTGCTGGTGCTAGAAGACCCCTAACATGTGATCACTCATCTTGATCAGCGAAGATGACAACAAGAAGGGTAGATGACCGTACGACCGGCTTAAGTCGTATCAATTGAAGGGAAGTTGTGTCATGTCTCTGTGTTGTGTAGTTTTGGTCAAAACCTCCCAGAACCACAAGACTTTGGTATTGTTCCCTCGTAGCGATTTTGTCCAGGGCACCGAGATCACCGATGAAGATCTGGCCGGGGCCCGTTGCAGACCGCGACCGACCGGTGCTTTCCGGGTCACTGTTGCAGGTCATGTTCACCCAATGGACATAACATCCGTTTTGGTGTCGCCCAGCCCCAAGTCGTACTTGGGTTGTTGTCCACTCAACAGAGGAGCGCCTCGGCAGTTCTTCGTACATTTTCCCTTTGGCCAAGAGGGGTTGGAGTTATTCGCTTCACTACCTCTCTGCGGAGAAGGACACCGGAACCTGATGTTCCTTTTCTTTACTTCAAAAACGGCCTAAGAGGTCTTCATTGTCTCAAGGTGAAGAAGAGAAATGTTTGAACCGGTACACTCCAAGGGTAGCGGCGCGGCGCAGCCAGCGTGGCTGTCACCCGGAGCTTCTGGACAGTTGGTAAGTTTGGGGTCGCGTGGCCGGGTGTATCTAGTGGTACTGCACGTGAGGTTCAGATGGATGTGTCCCACACTTTGAGCCATCCTGAGGCTTACACCCCCTCTCACATGGGAAAAAGATTTGTTTTTCCACCAAAGCATGTGCATAAAAAAAGATTGGAGACAATGGGAGACGGACGATAGGAGTGTGTCTTGTTTATGCATGGTTATGTGTCTAAAGCCTAAAAACGGTGGAAGTTCTGCATCCTATGCGCACCCTGGGAGATCACATGTTCTCATGAAGGTCGGTTCGTATGAAGCCTCGACAGAGGCATCCAGAAAATAGAGACACTGTGATATGCAGCATGTCAGATCCTTTAGAGATTAGATTAGACTTTTCATTTGATGTTCTCTCTTCTTTTGGACTGTAAGACATTGAAAGCAATGTCTGAAACATGTACTTTCAACGTCCCCTTCGAAGCGCAAACCTTTGGACCGGGTCCTTTTGCCCTTGTGTTATTTCACGCCGAATATAATGCTTCACGTCCGCCTCGCTTCCTTTTTGACGCTCGCTCTGACAGTGAGGGCAACATCAAGACCTTGAGCGAGCGCGTCATCGAGCTCACCGAGTATCGGGCCTCCTTGTCGGAATATTTGAAGGCTCGACTTCCGGCGAGGGGTCCGAAGTGAGTTCTTTTTTTACTATTAGGTTGGAGGCGGTCGCTATTAGGTTGGAGGCCATCGCTAGTAGGTTGGAAGTCATCGCTAGTAGGTTGGAGGCCATCGTCAAGGCTATGAGGTGTGGGTGCTGGGTGACCCACTACCCTTTAAAAGCATGCGGTGGGACATGTGAACAACGAGCATTTTGTGGCACAACGAGCATACAGCTGTAGAGCCATTCTTTTTGTGAACATTTTGTGGTGCCAAGCAAGGGAAAGCCTGGTCCAAAGCGATTGTGGAGGATACCTCCCGTTCGTTGTGCAGCATAAGAAATGAGTTTCGGGTTGAGTCCGGTCCCAATGGTAGTTGTTGACATCGACTAGCTGTCCAGATGGGAGCTTTGGCTGCCAAACTCATCAATTCAACCTGAAACCAGTGCCATGCATAACCATGTGCAGTCCTATAAAGGCAAAGGTCCTGTAAAGAAACTTTGTTTCCCCCGACTACACCAACCACCCTATCCGGCCCTATCACCGAAACCACCTCCACCTCAGCCAGTCCCTTCCCTGGAACCTCTTCCCTCTTCAGCTGCGAATGACGGCCATTGCGCCCAACCTGACCTTCATGGTGGGCGAGCTCGTCGGCGCCCGACTCATCTCGCAAGCTGGGCACGGCCGCCCGGTCCAGCGCGCCTCCCGCGCCGCGCCGTGCTTTTCTCGTGTCGAGCGCCGCGTCGGTCGATGAGGTCGTTGATGAGTTTGGCGAAGCACCCCAGTAGCACTGTGCAGATTCTGGGAGCCGAGAAGGCGCGAAGAGCCCTTCTCGTGATGGGGGGTTTGTTTGGGAGCTCTTTCAGGCATGGCTTTGAACTACGGTTTGTGACTGGCTTCTCTTGTATCGTTGAAAGAGGCACACCAATTATATAGACCTGTCTTTGAGAGAGGCATACTTTTTGATCCTGATGGACATTGGCATTTACTGTACTGATCTGAACTGGAGATTTTTTCTTGATCCTTCACAACAAAGGCTGAGGGCACGGCTCACAAGAATGTGCTTTTGGGGCGGCCAAGATACTAGCGCCAGTTTCCACGGCAGCTAAAGCGATCCACATCGATCGGCAGAGTTTCCGCCAGATCTCTTGATCTCGTCTGCTTGGTCCGCAGTGGAGTTGGATCTCGGGTTGGGTGTTTCCAGTTCCCAGATTCCGACTTTCCCTTCCCTAGCGGCTTTTTTTCCCAGAATCAGTTTTTGGGTTCCCACTGAAAAAAGGGACCAAACCGACCGCACTCGACCGCTCTCGAGGCCAATAGAGCGACGCACCCGGGGGTGCCGACACGCGGAATCCGGGTCAAACCACCGGAATCCGGGGACACCTTTCGGAGCAGTATCGCAGTCCGAACGCCAACAAGGAAGAGATGGTGAGGGTCATCATGTGCCAGTGTTGTCACATGAGTCACATGAGTCATGACCGAACGACCACACCACTTCTACGGTCAACGGCCGCTCCGAGAGCCCCAACGCTCTCACCATTTCTACTGCTTTGAAAAACACAAATGCGCGACTGGTGCCCTGTGTTTTGAGTCTAGAGTCTTGAGCCTGAAAGCCCAGATAATGGGGAAGGGCAAAAAAAGAGACATCATTCCTGTAGGATATTCTCTAGCTCAGGTGCAGATCTTCTCTAGGTTCAACATCACTTGCTCAGTTGCAGCCTTGCTTGGCACCTGTCTTGGCTCATGGATTTGTGCAGGCGCTCTTCCGAGCCTTGAAGACGAAGAAGCAGACCCCAAAGCCAGGGCAGCCCAGTTGGCAACAAGGAACCAAAGCACAAACCCGCTCTCGGCATAGCGGAGGCACCGAAAAACTAGAAAAACATCCACCGAAAACACCGAAAACCCGGTCGTTTCTCCCAGCTGCTCACGCTCGCACGACGCACATGTGCGTGGGTGCCGCAGGTATGGGCTCATCTACCATGCCTCGCTGGTGGGTCAATCCGCTCCGGCCCTAAAGGCGAGACGGCGATCTTCTCCTTTCTCCTCCTCGTCTATCTAAGCTGCAAACGTGGTATATCAAACCCACCCACCCACACGACGACCACGACGACGACGACGACGACAACAACATTTTAGACTCCTGCAGGTGGGCGTCACGTTTGAAGATCAAAAACGATACATACGGAAGATACCAAGTCACCTGGAGGCAGCGCAGGAATCTAGTAGAACTATGCTGAATTCAGGGTTCGGTTCAGAAGAGAAGACTCCGAATCAGTGATCACGAATCAGCGACGATGAATCTCTCTACCAGTTGCCGCAACAGGGTTTGCTTCTTCGGGCCTGGCTCAGGGCTTCGCTTCTTGAGGTTCTTTGGGCTTGGCTTCAAACATCGCTGCTGTAGGGTTTCTTGGGGTACTTATTCAGGGCTTCCTTGGGTTTGGGTTTGGGTTGCGGCTTCAGCTTTTTCGGTTTTTTGTGGACTTGCCTCGACCCTTACTTCTTCAGGGTTTCTTTGTCTTGTGCCCGGGTGCGGAAGCTTCGGCTCAGCCGCTGAGCCGAAGCCATGTTTCTTGCTGCTTTTCTTCATGCCACTTTCTTTACTGTCGCAAAGAAAGGATGTAACAAATACCTGGTTGATGGACCATATGTTTTTGAAGAAACGGTTGTCCAGGTATGTCTTTCAGATCATGCCCGAAACTTTATGTTTTCTGCTGGAGCTACTTTGGAACCACCATGTGTTCCCCATTCGGTTTGTGTCCATATGGCATGGCATAATGTCAGAAATAGTGTGTTTGATCCTTTGTTCATCATTTTTCAAGAGGGTCCAGGAGTAAAAGCCAAGCAAGCAAAACACGTCAAAGCAAGATTTTTCAGTTGGTGGGTCTTCAAACAGGGAGGCCCTTGAGAGACAAGCCATTGCTTGTGCCCCTTCTCGACATTCCTTTATAACCCTATAATAGCAAGCTTTTCAAAACTCTACATTTATGTGGCTCCCCCGGGTCTTTGTGCATAAGCCCTTGGCCTTTGCAAGGTTTGTGTCTATTTCGAATGTGATAATTGGGTGTGCCATCACTGTGTTTAGTGAGCCTTCATCATTGGAGTGCCGCGCAGCGTGCAGGGGTCCTCCACCACCACCACCACCACCACCACCACCACCAACAACAACAACAACAACAACAACAACAACAAGAACAAGAACAAGAACAACAACAGCAACAGCAACGGCAACAACAGCAACAGCAACAGCAACTTGCTACACCGCATGTATGCATGTGAGAGCAGGCAGGAACCGCCAAATCGATGGCACTAACCAACGACAAGTTCAAAAGCATGCACTGGGTCGGTGACCGCGTGCGATACCTCGCCGAGCGTCGTGTGGTCCGTCCGAACGACCGAACGACCGAACGACCGAACGACCCGTCGTGGCGAAAATGGGGCGACCTGTTGGGGCTTGAGAACCTGAAAGACCTGACAGACCTGAAAGATGTTCATGCTCGCACGATGACTTTCCAACATGGATGGACACCACATGTTCCTTTTCCCCCGGCGAACGTGTCCTCTTCACGAACCAAGATCATTCCGAAAGGAGCATCCCCGGCCAGGGCAAGATCAGTCGCGTTTTGGCGGCGAAGCTGTCCTTGTGCTGCAGGGTGGATGCCTTGGGCGACCAGGCGTGTTAACAGGTTGCATGGTGGCTGAGGGTTTCCGGGTTTCCGGGTGAAGACGAGCGAATGAAAAGGCGTGGAAGTGTTCGAGGCCACACTCATGCATCATCAAAAGAAACACTGAAGGAGGTCAATGACAAAGCTGCAGCTCTTTGATTGGACTGGAGTGAGTCAACCGACCACATGTATGTCTGCCAAGGTTTCAAAGTGGAAATTGACCTCTTGGAAATGTGCTCCCTGAGAGGTACCGTTAGGTACTCACCAAAAGCAGCCTTGATCGTTCTCCTTTGTAATTCTCCACCCTAGTAGCGATGGCCTCCACCTAGTACAGCCGGTTGTGGCTTCCTTCCTCCCTTAGTTCTTGCCTTCCTTCTCGATTCTCCCCCTCACTGGTCTCCTTGTCAGTCAACACATCCTACACCGTGGCCAGGTGGAGCCGACCTTGGGTGAGGTTCGTTTCGGGTCGGGGGGGGATGGGGCGAACAAACCCGTGGGGGGACCAGTTCTCATGGATGTCTTTGGACACCCAGAGAGAATTTGCATGAAAGCAGAACACCTGTTTTTGTTCAAAGCAATTGGTCACAGCAGAAAAGACTTCACCTTCCCTCAGACACCGAGCACGAACTCAAACACATACGACCTCTAACGACCGCCAGGCCCACGCGCCCATCCACAACCATCGGGACTCACCGGGCGCCCTTGATCGCCCTCGTCCGGTCAGGAGTTCAAGGAGTACGTGGAGAGGCGTCTGGCGACGTTGGAGGCGTCCGACGCCGGTGTCGCGGCGGGGCGTCTGGCTGTTTGGGGTGGACACCTGTCGCCTTGTTGGGGCTCTTTGGGGACCGAACCACCACGGGGCGCGACGAGGAGTGTTTTTCGAAGTCGGAAGACAGTTCCAGGTCCAGCTTGTTGTGGGGGTTGTTGGGGTTGTCGGGTCTAGGTGGTCGCGATTGAGCAAGGAGTTGAGAAGTCCTGAAGGTTCAAACAAAATTGGTGCTCTCCATTTGGAGTTTTCAAGTACCAAACGATATTTTTAGCGGTTTTTGGATGTCAAAAAAATTATCTTCATTCCTCCCGAACAACTCGTAGGGGGCATTGAGTTTGCAGTTTGCACCATGCTCACGTTGCTGGCTTCCTCGAGTACCTCGACATGGCCACGAAAGTCATGCGTCTGTGTAGGAGTTATTGGACATGAATGTAGGGTTTTGGGACCTCAGAAGGCAGTCTCTCTTGCAACCTTTTCTATATGGTAGATTCAGTTGCGAGCTAAGATCACTATTGGATCCAATCCGAAAATCAAGGCCTGTTCAACTTTGGGTGTCCGCCTTGATGTACTTCGAACAAAGCACTTGGGGCCCAAAGAAGCGCAAGAACCACCAGACCCGCGCAAGAAGCACCTGCACCTGGAGACCTGGACCTGGAGAGGCCCTCTTCTTAAGATCTTAGAAGGGACCTCAGCAAGTTCCAGTGCCCTTTCTGGTTTCCGGATTCCTACCGACCTGTGGAGCCGACCTGAAGTCCAGGAGGGCGGCATGAAGTCCCTCAGCAAGGGCATCAGCAGGCCGGGGGCTCCCATGAGTCCGGCGGGGTCTCAGGGGTGCCGGCCGTTCCAAGGGTGCGACATGGACTTTTTGGTCCTGGTTTTCTGGGATTTTCAGAGGTTGGTCAAGCGGCCTCAGTTCCAGGTAAATACCTTTCATCCTTTGGTCCATTACTAATACTGATTACTTGCTGACTAATCTTGGCGGCGTGGTGCTAGGGTTCATGTGGTCAAGCATGGTCAAGCATGGTCAGGCTCATAGAAGTACCATACCCCAGGCGAGAAAACGGAAAAAGAGACATGAATTCATTTTGTTGAACCTGGGATGTTTTCCTTGGTCTAGCATGCATGATCTAAAGGGCAGTGGGGAGCATCGGCTTCGACGGTCAAAACATCTTGGTGCTTACCGCTCGCTAGGAACATTATATTTTCATCCAGACCCATTGGATATTGTGCTATATAATTGTATATGTACCTGGTCAAAGTCATTTTGACTTTTCTGACGTCATGATATGATATGCGAGGCTGCTTGTACGGATGCGGAGCAACCAGAGAGGGGGTGCAGCGTTTGTGAATTTCATATAGACCATTAGACACCACAATACGCTACATGTTTCTTGCTGACAGAGTTTGGGCAAGAGTGACCGTCTCCCCCTGGTCCTCGTCGTCGCTGTCATTGCGGCTCTACAAACGGAGCACCAAGCAGAAGAGGCCCACAGCAACTTCTCCTTGTGGTTCCATATGTACACTTTGAGCTATCTGGGGCCTCGACGATGATCCGTGCTTCTTTGCCAACACTTTTTCGAGCCCGGAGCTTTCAGGCCCACGGCTGGAAAGCACCAGAAGAAGCCAGGGGTGCCCATTTCTTGGGACAACGCGAGGATGATGTGATTTTCGTTTGTTTTCTTGCCTTTGCGAGTATCAGAGACATGTTTTTTTCGACTGTTGGATACCTTGAAGATGGGTTTGCTGTAGGTTTTTCACGGTGGAACCCAGCGCTTCATGGGGGCAAGAGTACAGATACTTTTTCCCAACGGCAAAGCTTGGGGGTCTTCAGCCATAGTAAAGGCAAATTCCGAAGCAAGTGCCCAAGCAGGTATTGAAGCAGCAAGTTGCATAGGGTGTTCCGGAGCAGGTTCTGGAGCAAGTTCCGGAGGAGGTACAGGAACAGGTCTGAGCAGCTTCTGGAGCAAGGCTCACAGCAATTTCACAGATATGCTGATATGCTGTTTTGCTGACATATGCTGACATTGTCATGGCGTAAGCCATCAGACTACCATGCTTGTTTGGTGGGCGCTGTGACGCGGACATTCGCAAACATGCCGTCATGCTGTTTTTGCTGGCATGCTACCAATGGTGTCACGCCGACATGTTGATGCGCTGTCACCCGATATGATGTGTTGGCATGTTGCATATATCGCTGGCAGGCGGACGTGTAGACACGCTAGCTTGCTGTCATGCTGACATGCTGGCGTGGCGTCGCGCTGACATGACATGCTGTCGGGCTGATGTTTTGCTGCCGTGCTGGCATCCTGGCATGCTCCGGGGCGCCGTCATGCTTGCACATAGGTGGGCATATGTGCAATGCCAACATGACTGCCGTGTTGTGAAAAGCACCTTTTCATGCCCAGCTGTTTGCGTTTTGAGTTTTTGGTCTATTCGGGTTGCCGGCGCCAGTGGCCCTCAGAGGGAGTAAATGAAGTCTCCATAATCACACTTTTTTAAAACCATCTGACAAACTGCTTAGTGGTGCCTTACTTGCAATTTGCAAACATTGTTGGATCTATTTTGCTTCCCAATTGTACCTTTTGAAGGGGTCGAAAAGTAGAGTAATTATGCGCAATAGATTCCACAATGTACATGATCGGACAAGACTTAGAGATGAACGTGGCGTGAAGTGTATGATATCCCGGCAAGAGACCCCAAACAGTGTGTGTGAGGTTTACAAGCAGAAAGCCTAGTGAGTGTGAGTGTGAGTGCTTCAAATCATAGGCTTTTTGAGCAGAGGACCAGGGCAGATACATCGCCGCCTGGTCAACGAAGCTGGCGATGTATCTGAGGATATGGAAATGGGGCGCCGTTTCGCCGTACCTGCTCTGCTGTTCAGGAAAACAGAATGAAATGGTTCGTCGGTGTACTTGTGCGTCGGTTCCTTTCCTTCTGTTTTTCCTCTATTCTACTCTAATGGGGTGATTCATTTTGTCTCACCGCTAGCTAGGAACAGGAGGCTTCTTTTCTTTTCACGCTACTCACCTACTGATAGGTTTGCAGGTAGGCCTCCAAACTTGTAACGGGGGCCTTCAACCTGGATGCGATGGCCTCCAACCACTAGCAATGGCCTCTAACCATGGCTATCTTGTGTTTCTTGTGTTTCTTGTCACCAACCTACGAGCCATGGCCCCCCAAACGGGTTCGATGGCCTCTAACCTAAGAGCGAGGACCTCCAACTTTGACTGTTTTGCAGTCTCGCTTCTTGTCACCAACCTACTAGCGATGGCCCTTCAACCTGCCTTCGACGGCCTCCAACCTAAGAGGGATGACCTCCACAGTCTCGTTTCTTGTCACCAACCTACTAGCGATGGCCCCTCAAGCTGCCTTCGGCAGACTCCAACCTAAGAGCAATGACCGCCAACTTACTTATCTTGTTTTACTCAGGCCCTTTTTTACCTAGGTTTCCGTGTGGCATGTGGCATCCAGATCAGTACGCGCGTCAATAAGTGTGTCTGACCTTAGTGTCAGCCCAGGGTGACCCCGAAGAGTGGCCCCTGTGGACCCGTTGAACGGGGGTTTGTATCGATCTCCACTGCCCAGATATGTACGTGTCCAGAGCGGACAGGAGGAGGCTTAAGCCACTGGGGGAAAAATACAAGAAGACTGTGCAACCCCTCTATTCTTGTACCCTTTTACAAATTGTTTAGTTAGGTCTTGTCTGCAACTTGCACGCACTGTTGGATATATTTTTCGACCACACTTGAAGTGGCAGATCTTTTTCAGAGGGTCGAAAATAAATATCCAACAATGCATGCAAATGAATACTTCTTTGACCACCTGAAAATCCAAAGTCAAGGGGGTCCAAAAACGAGTGTATATAACGATAAGCTGTACACTGTGCAGGATCGACACAAAAGATAGAGATGATCACAGCGTGACATGGATGAATACATGAACAAATCCCTGTAATCACCCTATTCTTGGACCGTGTTACGAATGGCTGATGTTTTTCTCACCACAATTTGTAAAGATCGTTGGGTGTACTTTGTGAGCCCCTTGAAATTGTTCCAAATAATGTGATTTTGCAAGCATCTTGCACAACAAACTTTACATTTGCGCCAGTTGATGCATATGACATCATAATGAACGATACAATTGCAACCAACTGATGCATATGATGCAATCATGGAATCGTTTGTTTGCCTTTCATGGACCTGGTGATGCACATGATGCGATAAAAACAAATCTAGTCAAACATAGACATAGCTGATATGTGAAACCCATATGCATATGCCTTCCATGTTTTCTTCCACCCGTCGTTTTTCAGACACACCTCCTGATGCAGGATATGCATTTTCGTTCCCACGAAAAGGCACCTTCTGGCTTAAACTAATCAGCGATGAATGCGCTCTGACCGTGATACGCCCCTCTCAGCACCTTCGGCGCGGGCGGATTTAGAAGATAGCGGTTGAGGCCTTATTATAAGGGCAATGTCACAGTCATGTTGGTCCGGGAACCGTCTTCCCATACACATGCATGTCCTGATTTTCTGCATTTCATGCAGCCCTTATCGGAAAGTCCTATCATCTGAGGCCCTCGGTGAGAGGCAGCGGTGCTGCGCACAGCGCGGAGGACGACGTGGTCGAGGCTGGTCAACGGCCAAACGGCGGGGACAGTGAGATGGCGGGGACAAGATGCACTCTCCGGTGCCCAGCGATTGACTTTAGAAACCGCAGTTGCACCTCCAGCCTCCAACCTTCTGCCACGGTGCTCCTATGGTGGCACGGTGCCTCTCTCCAGACAGGCGCCCAAGAAGCGGAAGGCCAAGGCCGTTGAGGCCGAGGCGGAGGCGCCCGAAACCCGAGCCTCTGACCGGGCGTGTTTGACCATCAAAAAAGGGACCCGTCAACCTGACCGGTCTGAGGCAAACGTCAGGTGTTTGGGGTTGTGGTTGTTTTCTAGGACAACCGAATGGACAAGTGCATCGTGGGCTCTTCGTGAAACTCCCCCCGCCATCTATCACCAACGAGAAAGATCCTAGAAACCGGGATGAAGGACGTCTTGGGCTTCCGTCAAACAAGGCCCCGATCGGTCGCAGGTGGTGCAGGATTTCTTTCTGAAAGTCTCGAGTCTGAGCGGATTGACCGAACAACCGAACCTTTGCGCTGACCCACTGCAACAGGAAGAAGCTGAAGAAGCACCGGCGCGGGTTCCCACGGGGGTGCCATTCTGGGAGCGTGGAAACATACAAATGAATCGTCTCAAACTTTAGCCGGAAAGGGTTTGTGGTGGAAGACTCGTGACTGGTAGGTGTCAAAATCACCCAGGGCCTTTAGAAGCCTCAAGAAATGGAGTCGTGGCAGTCGTGGGAGCTCCGTGTCGAGCGGATTTTTATTGGGGGAAGATCAGTGAGGCAGGAGGACTGGGGCGGGGGCCTCACACAAATGAGCATACCTCAGTTTTTGTGGAGTTCCATGAAGATTCTCTATAATATAGATACAAGATGATGCAAGGGTCGGCATTGACATCCATGGTAAGTGGAAAGAACACCCCGGCATGCCCAAGCCGGTGTTCATTAATCGCTCCTGATTGATCAAAATACGTACTGCAAATCACAATGTTAGTCTTCTGGGGAGCAGGAACCCCTCACTCCAAACCGCCATGTGGACTGGCCGACGAATGTGTTCGATGTGACCACGTTTCGCGCGGGTCCAGCGGGACCGCCGAAGCGAACCCAATTCTCGACCGACGGCGACACGGTCTCGACCAAGGCACCGAAGAAGAAAAAGAAGAAGAAGGTGGTCGAAGAAGAGGCTGAGTAGGCGCACCGCAGCCAAAACTGCAGCGAACTCTGATTGGATTGCTCGTTTGGAAGCACGGTCCGTGACCAGACCGGATTAAAGATCCACGTTCTTTGTTTTAAATCCTGTTTGGTGGACCTCTCCTTTTCACATTTCGAGCTTTTGCTTTTCCGGCATTCTTGAATTTCCTGACAAATATGTTTTAACATCATACTATGTTAAGAACTCATTGATTGCCATGAACATGATCCGTTTCAGGCCACCCAGGACCCAGGCCACCTACCTGTTTGTGCTGTTTTGATGTTTCATGTGTCAACAACGATGTGTCTACCTCACCCACCCAGCTCCGTCGAAGGCTTCTGCAAAAAGCTCCGGCGGGGCTTTTTCCAGTATGACGTTCAACAGTGCTGCTACCTACTTACCCACTCTGAAGTTCAAACAGTATTGTAGCTACCTGACCTGGCCTTACCTTGACTGTAGGTTCAAACGTGCAAGCAAGTACCAGGACCACCTCTGAGGTAAACGAATGTTGTCTCTTTCTTCGGAAACTGCACAATCCTCGTCTTTGGACCGTGTTTTGGGTACCTCATCACTACCATGCTGATATGGATTGTGCGTGGCAACAAAAAAGAAGGACTACGATTCCTTCTCGACCCTGAGCCACCCTGAAGTTCCAGACCCGTTGCGATGACCTCCTTGGGCCCCGTAAAAGAGGTTTCGCGCCTGAGTGAATGGCATTTCAACCAGGTCACATCAGCAAGACAAAGGCATATCGAATTTGTACACATACATGATATATTGTATATGTATTATAGGTATATATATATTATACATAGAGATAGGTGATCATGGGGTGAAAAGAGATGGACGTGATACCTTCTTTCGTGGGAATGGAATTCCGGGTGTTCTTGAACTTATGAAACGAGGAACGTCGCTAATGATTCGTCCTGTTGTGATTTGTTAGTTCAACAATTCAAAGTCTTTACGATCACAGAGTTCTTTTTGTGGAACACCTATTGCTGTTGCGGACCCGTTTCAACCATTCAAGTGTTACTGTAATTCTGACCGCCTAACACTAAAAATGTTTGCCCCGAAAACCAGGCACTGATACAGGGACATTGTCAAGTCATATCATCAAGGCCCCCCCCGTGGAACAAAAGCCCTGCACGGCGTGCGCCGTCTGGTGGCACAATGAAAGAACTCCGCAGCTTTTTAGTGAACGGTTCCTGTTCGGATCCTTTTGGGGGTCAACGAATCTCAACTGCATATTCTTCCCGACGTTTTAGTTGTGAAGGCCACCATCCCGAGAGAAACGTTTTTCCAATACATTTTTAGTGGGGATCTACTTTTCTATCCATTTAGGGGGTTTACATAGGGAGGAGCAAGGACGCTACTCGGGGCTCCTGGCCTTACTAGTAGGAACAAGAAGCTACCTTAGGGGCTCCTGGCATCGCTACTAGGAGCAAGGAAGCTAGTAGGTTGGAGGCCGTTCTCTCGGAACATCAAACCAGTTGAGCTTCCAGGTTTGGATGCCGACGAAGATGTCAACCTCCCCGCGGCCGAACGACTCCACGTGGGTATGGCCAGAGAACTCGTCATCTAAACGAGTTGCAGAACTCGTCATCCCCCGGATCCCTTTGAATCTGAGAGCGGCCATCCCCAACTGATCAGTTTGAGGTTTCACCCGCAAAGCCAAGAGGATGCGAAAAGAATGGCTTTGCGGGTTGGATGGCGGAAGGTGGCGGTCTTTGCAACAAACCTTCGACCTCTCGGGACCCCAAAAAGCGAAAGAGCTTGATATGGAGGATCATAGAGGATCCACCGCATGATCCACCCTTTGAAGAATGCGGCTTGCGACTTTATCAACATCTTATGGGGCTCGACCAGCATGAAGGATCTAGGCCACCGTTGAACGTTGTGATCGTGACTCGAGCATGCGACATATCAGGTCGGGAGTGCCTAGACTTACAGCCATGATCTCTGTGGTTCTCATCAAGACTTTGGCCATGCCCCAGAGTGACCTGGTCGTCACCAGTCACTTTTCCCTCCCATTTGTGGCAGCACCCAAAGCTGTCTCCAGCTGTCTCCTGCGTGCGAAATCTCGAACCCCCTGGGTAGGCAAGCACCTGTGGGGGGCCAAAACACCCTGAAGAGCCCTCAAAACACGGATCTCTTGCAAAGAACCCCCCAAACCTTTGAGTGGCGCAGCCCATGTTGGCCTGGATGTAGTCGTTGGAGATGACGGTGAGCCGGTCAGTCGGGTCGCCAATGATGACACCTCGCAGCGTTCACCCACGCTCCCTGTAGTTTGTGCGTTTTTGTGGTTTGTGCACCCTTTTTTCACCAAAAGACTGCAAGGTGATGCTGAGTGTGTGTTCTTCACCATCAAGGCAGATGAAACCAGGTTTCCAGTCCAAACAACCCAGACTTCTCCACTGATCTTCGTGCTCCCTCTCCCCTTCGGTGGTTCCATTGCACCCCACCATGGCGAACAACTTGACGATGGCAACGGAGCCGTTGGGGTGCTTGGTTTGGTGGACGGTCTTCGCGCGCGCTGGGAAGTCGGGTGGGACGTCGGAAGTGTCTTGCCCAGCGACAAGAACGAGGCAATGAACCAGTGGAAGCTCTTCTTTCTGGGGCACGCTGGATGAAATCATGAGGTCTATATAGCTAGAGATTCCGAGTTTAATTAGCTAGAAATGAGTGCTCAAAGGTCGGTGTTCGATTTTTGGGAAGAGGGTGATTTGCCTGGAACTTGTTCCCGATGCCAAAGAACTGGCAGGTGGGTACGTCATCATTGCATGCTTCCATCCACTTCTGAACCAGTCAAGGCCTACCTAACTTTTAAGCAGAGTTTGTCTCAAGAGGAGAAGATTCCCGTGACCGAGGGGGGTCGGTTGCACATTTTTGTACCAGGGATCTTGTACATTCTTTCATCTTAAAAGCAAGACTTGGAACCCCATCCCAAGCTGTCTAAGCCGGTGGCTGTTTCACTGTGGCAGTGAAGCAAGAGCTTGGTTGTGCCCAAAGTCGCCAGCTTGAGCTTGATCTGTTAAGCTTCATTGGCCATGTCTAGTCCTGTCTACTTCACCAGGACTCTTCCATGGTTCCTTTCCCCCTGCCCCCAAAAACACACCGCGAGGCCCACTCGTTCAACGGAACGTGAGGCCCACTCTGTCCGCTTGCTCACCCGAGCGAGCCGAGGAAGATCTGCGAGCCGGGGGGCACCGGCCTCCTCCTGCCGTTGTCGCAGAGCGAGCAGACCATGCCGAAAGGAGCGCGCTTGGGGGCCCTGTCCGCGAACGCAGCGGAGCGGAGCTGGAGCGCTGGTGGTTTCGAGCTGCGCAGGGAAAAGGAGCGACAGAGACCGCCGGACGACAGGAATCGGACGACAGTCCACCTCTTCCCGAATGCGTAGCGAAGGCGTTCGTACCTTTGGGGATGCAGAGCCGTGGTAGAGCTGTGCTCATTCAACTCATGTGGACTGTTTTTGGGTGGCGCAGCAATGACGATTGACACTAAGCTGTAAGCTTTCACATGCTTTCACCATAGTCAAGCTAGTTTGACCCAAGCAACATCAAGCAACCAATTTCTGCCCCACACCTTCGCATACCCTTCGCATTCCCTTCCCCTCACCTTGGCCGGGTTGGTCTTTTTTTTGAGGGTCCGTTTTCCACTTCTCCGAGGTGCCGTGATGTATATCCTTCTCCTCTTGTACATGTTCATGGGCGTTGGGACCGTGGCCGATTGTTTTATGAATGCCCGGACGCCCAAAGGCCAAAGGCTCCCCAACGGGGGCCCGAAACGTCGGGGGGGGAGGAAACGGAAGCGCGTTTGTTCCGAACGGATTTCGGTGGATTGGAACGACATTTGTACTGATTGGGGGTGTCCTATATTTCCTGTAACGGTCATTCATTACCACCTCTTTTTTGGAGGAAGGCCTTTACTAACCATCATCATCCACTGTTACAGGGAATAGGATACACCCAAATGTATCGACGCATTTAGATCGACGGCCCTCGGCCCCCCTCACGAACCCCAAATTTGGTTGTAATACCATGTAAGTACCTGTAGGTACATGTATACGTACACCTTCTTAAGCTCCTTTCAAATTTCCACCCCAACCTTTGTTTAGTGTTTTTGTCAAAGTCACATGCCTTCCAAACAGCACAGGAACTGGTGACTGGTGTATTTCTCAAACTTAGCAGGCTTTGTGAAGGTTATCCCTTCACCTACTCATTTGTTCGCATCCCAACTTTCGCGTTCGAGTTCTTTTCCGCAGGTCACCCCGCTGTTCTGGTTTGTTCTCCCGGTTCAAAACACGACCCATCAGGCCGTTGAGAAGATTATCAGCAAGAAGAGGCCGGGACCCGTGCGAGGATCTGACACAAGGGACCTGGGTGTGGCGCGCAAGCGCTTTCGATGGGTTGCTTTGGATGGAATGAGTTCCAAAGAGAGCAAAAAACTGGGCAGCATGGGCAGGCAGCATCAGTCAGCAGTGGCTTTTTCAGGTGACATCGACATTGGATGTTTTGTGACAAAAAAGACACATCGACATTCGTAGCTTTCCTGCGGTTTCCTTACCCTCGAACTTTTCAGGTCACCTGTTTGTGGGATCGGGGCAAGTTCTGATTCTTATGGTCAGTCCAAGTTGAGTCTATCACAGATCGATGCCGAAGATCCTCAACAAATGAGCACCGTGGACCTTGGAGATCATCAAACCACATGAATAGTGCGAGCGCGAGCTATCCTGCGTCCTACCTAGGAGCTTACCTCCTTAATTAAGTAGGCGCCTACTTCATTAAGTAAAGGGTGAGGGCACCTCGGGCAAAAAAAAAGTCTTACTGCGACTCCCAGGTCAGGTTGGTCAAGCACTGCTTCAGTGCTTTGTGTGCTTTTTGCGCCAAAAGACTTCGTAGTCTTTGAGGAAATACAAAACACCACCAAAATCCACCAAAGATCTGGGCTGCTTTTTGGCGCTCCTTGATCTTTGACGACTGCAAACATGAATAAGAATGGTCCGTATTCTTTTTTGGGGGGAATTTCCAGCTGGTGCCGGTGTTTTGGGGACCGACACGAAGAGACCGACGTAGGAGGGACAGACTGCGCTGTCTTCGCAAGATCGTCGTCTCCGAGGGCGGGAGTTCATGCTAGAGTTCGGGATCCGGCCTGGAAGGGTTTTCGGTGATTTGGTGATCATTGGGTGACCTACCTGTGCTTCGCCATGAGTTTCTGAAGAACACCGTTTCCAGTGTCATTTCTCCTTTTTTGCACACGCGATTTCTCACGATTGTGACCCCTCCCAGGCGGGTCTATCGTGAGCAGAAGCAACGGATGGTGACCTACCTCGCCCAGAAGCCGAGAAAAACCGTTGGAATCCACTTGCTTTTCTTGCACGGAACATGAATCCATATGGATGACCACGTTGATGCCTTCGAGCAGTAAAACAACACCAGGAAGAAAAACTTCACTTCGGGGATTTGACACCCAAAGGGTATAAGGGAATTCGGCCATCAAAGTGTCCTTCAAGCAGTTTTTTCACACCCGCAGCATCCAACAAGGTGGATTTGCGATCAGCATGCACCGACAGTGAGCATCTGACCAATCAACGGAAGGGTCCACGTAGATATACATACATATATATATATATATACACGATATGCATTGATATGCTGCTGTACTTTTTCTGGATGGGAAGCTGAAAGCTCTTCCAAGTTTGAGATCTTGGTGCTCCCTCAGGTTTTTGGACCCAGTCAGCAATTATTGGCAACAGGTAGATAACCTCTTTTGTGTTCTTTGATTCTTTGATCTATTTAGTTTAGATGAAAAGGCACAGGATTCATCCTGCGTTTGGTGCTACGGCTCTCGCTCTCGCTGGCTCTCTCTCTCTCTCTCTCTCAACATGGTGAGCCAAGGTCTGGAATAGCACGGTGGCAGACCTGACATTGCTGGCCCTTGGTTCGGACCTTGAGCCGACCAACAGACCGACGCGGACCGCGCCGACCCGTTTTGGACCACGGCCAACGACGAAGGGTTCTGGTGGCCCTCGAAATCGAAGTCTGTCGAAACAACAGGGCGAAGGGGGAAGTCCTGGTTCCCAACAAAAATTGCCTCTCGAATTCCGATCTAGTCTGGATACGACCAGCTGGAAAGAAGAGTTCGCCGAGTTGGATGACAGATCGCTGATGGGTTCGCCTGCCAGGGTTACAACATTTGGTTCTGAAACACCCAAACCCGTAAGAAAATAGAAGATGAGACCGAAGACCTATGCTCCTGTAACTCAAAAAAATAGAAACATGCTTGTACAGAAACACAACCGAGAGCGGTCGAATGTTCAAACCCAAGGAAGTGCTGCAGTTTGCCAAGCAACCATGCCGTCGACTTTCATGATTGTTGGATTGGAGGGTCCAGGCAAGAGGTAAGGTCAGACGCTCGGAGGGTGTGGCTCCACGAATTTTGTTGGTCGGTCCGTTTTCCCACACGACCGATGACGAAAGATGTCAGAAACGACGCCGACCCGAGCCCCACCCGTTGGGAGCCGAGGTTCCTCTGCACCGGAAATCCTCCTGTGAAGGGCCTCAGGATGCGAGTCGACGAAGTTCTGAACAGCGCCCCAGAAAATGACCCCACGGTGGAACATCCGGTTTGAACACCGGAACAGTCCTAGGCTGTGAATCAGGATGGATCAGTTTTGTTTTTCTGGTTGTGCGGGCAAAAGTCTTTGGGCCAAGTTGAAAGTTGTTCAAATTAGCGTACCTAGAGTCTATAGGGTCTACAAATCTACAGAGCCTATACTGTACAGGCCCATGTTGTCCAGCCATTGTTCAACAAC